CACGAATCTAACGTCATCGGCACTGTCACTCATCGGAGGGTTAAACGTATTCATTTTAATGCCCCACTTAGAAATTTACGTCACTTTGAGTCCTTTCATATTGGCCCGGTAAAAACTGTTTATGCATTAAACGCTCCTATCATGCGATTATGCGATCTTAATCGCATCGAAAATTGTATTCATATTGATTTTATAGCCTGTAAAAACGACTTTTTGAAATTCTTATCTTCTATTTTGGATTAATTTTGTAAATTTACTTTACTTTTCTTTCTAATAGTCTGTAAGTATATTTGATGTATTNTATATTTGATGTATTCATTGGCTAAATTAAACAAATAAACAAATAAAAATATGTACCATCATATTTATAAGCAAAATGTATAAATCGGTATACACATTGTTCACACATAGTTGAGGAGAATCTTATCCAAAACGATATTTCCATTTTTTGGTAATTCTTTAATTTTTCTTTCTTTTATATCACTCATAACTTCGGTAGCAGCTGCAGTTTAAAAACATCCTGAATATATTTAAAAACATTATCTAGCTTTGTTAAATGGATAAAACTATCATATTTCCATCGATTTCCACAAGAAATATGTACGAGCATATTCTCAACATCTGCATGAAATTTTGAATGACTATCAATTCATTTAAGAATCCGAAATGAAGGTGTCTCCTTCCATTCGAAGGTCGAATTATGTGAGCTTAAATTCATACATCAAATGGGCCTGAAAATCAGTCATATTGGACTCTTATTGGCCTCATATACAGCTCATTATAAAATCTTAAAAAAAAATGTGGCCTCATGTATATGGAAAACATTTTAGAGTCTTTTTAAATGCATACATTTCAGCAAAATTCCACCCTGACAGATTACCACGTGGTCACTTTGGCTACGAACACATAAAAGGCAAATGAAAACAACGGGCGAGTTAAGAATGAATCGTAACTAGCCATAAAAGTTAAATAATAAGCAATTTTACGCAAGTATTTACCGAGATGCGTTCATGTAAGATTGCGGATAAAGTAATAAATTTAAGCAATTTACCCCTTTGTCAATTTAGATGAACTAAAATTTCTCGTTTGAGTACCTTTGAGTACCAGTAGTAGAGACGGGTATTTCCTAGCGATACTTTGAGTAGCATCGAATTTTCTCTTCGATACTTTTAATGAGTACAGGCATTGAGTACATGGTGGTATCGGACGAATACTACGTATGACTGAAAAATTATATATATATATAGATTATTATTAAAGTATTTTATCTAGTGGGAATTAGACATCGAATTTGCCTTAAATATTATTTTTAAAATTGCTTTCTTAAAATTTTCTCATTCACTTTTTAGAGCTCACAAGTACTGTATTGTATTTTGGAAATATCTTTATATATCCTCAATTATGATGGTATATGTTTTTATGATCCTTTTATGGCATAAATATTCGACCTCTAATCATTAAGATTCGAAATTTTGAACGCAGAAAAAAATATTTTAGTATAAAAGTGTATCTGCTAATTAAAAAAAAAGTTATAAGACATACGCTAAAATTTCACGGACTTAATGACCTTTCCGGTAAACAATATTAAAAAGTTTTGTTTGTACATATTTAGGAATATTATTTACACAATGTTAAACTGCACTTACCTTGTCGTTTTTCAGCTTCATTTATCGGAATATTTTCTAAAACGATTGGTTCGGAACGACCTTTCTGATTTGCGCTGTATACTACCAGATGCAGGGCTGGATTGGCATCGGGATAGTAATCCATGGAAGTTAGATCTGTAAAATAAACGAGAGAATTATAATGTTTTCGAGATATTATTAAGTTGTTAGAATTAGTGTAGAATTTGCTTAGGTTTCCCTTTCGCGCTTAGAAGGACAAAGTTGGAATTTGCTTATTATTTTTAATGTGTATTTTGTTTTTGTGTTATTGCGCGTATAAAAAAATCTTTGAAAATCGTGCAATCCTTTAACTGTGCAAGACATTTTCAAAACTTAGAGAATCATTGTCATGGGTCGTAAAATGACACCAACATAATATGCGTCCAGCATACCAATCTCACTCAAAATAAATTAATTTTATAAAATAGTACTAAAGTTCATGAATTCACTGAAGTGTAAGGGTTTTCCTAAATAGGTTAAAATTGAGATCTTCTTGTCATTCAAATTTATTTTAGGTCATGAAAGGGTTAAGCTCCGTTTTTAATAATCGTTTATTTTGGCTATACCTCTAATCACAAGCTCGGGAGTTGGTTATGATTGGAACAGTAAAGCGTATTTCTTAGCAAAATACAGAAATACCCCTCTTTATAAGGGCTATAGCAGGCCACTGCCTGATTAGGTTACGTGCTGTACATAGGACTAAAGTTGGACGAATAGGATCATTGCTGTAGTTGCAAGATCAAAGAAGTTGCTGGAGTTGAGGCATACGCAAAGATTTATAATGTAATTTATAAATACAATGCTAAAAGCTGATTCTTTTTATAAAATCTCGCCTCAACGTTTTTTAGTTTTCTTTCTACGTATCACTACTCAGCAGTTTTTCCTTTATTGTGCTGTACTAGCTTGAACTATAAGTTTGCCTTGGATAATAAAATGCTGTATTCAATATGATAGTCGATAGCTTAATTACCTAAGAGTTTTAATTTTTCACACTTTTTATGCCAAAATGGCAATCACTGGAGGTTCAAACGCAAATGCATACAACGAAATGTACTCAGAAAGTTCGTATCAACTTTGAACACACGAAATCATTAGCAAGCATTTTGCCGGAAGAGCATTTTCCGAAGCCAATACGCATGCTGCATGTACCTATTANCTTGCATATCATATAAACATACAGCTATTTACGTAAATGTTGTTTGTAATTTTTGATTACTACATATTAAATAGTAGTTAGTGATATACTTATATACATAAGTAAATAAAATAAAGTTTCACTTCAAGTGGAGAAGCCAGAGTCGTGCAAAACAACACTATCGATAAAGAAACGTCAATAGTAAGAACACTTATATTATATACATATATCTACGTAGTAGCTACCCTGTAGTAAATGCCACTAATTGCGATACTAACAATTTCCTTTTCAGCTCAACTAGTTCGTCTTCTATCCTTGTTCCGTACTACTAACTGGCATGGTGATGTCCAGCTGTAGAGCTGGATTAGAGGCATACGGGAAAGTCTAACCCTCGGCCAGCGCAAAAATAAATGTTTTTGAAGTGAAACTTCTTTAGCGGCGGTTGGCTGATTTCGAGGTAATTGGCAAATTTAACGGAAATTCCACACGAAGATGGTATTAATTTCAGAGAAACGTGCTAATAAAAGGTTAAAGAATACAACTTAGATTATCGAAATTTTTATCGATTTTGGGGTCGATATTTTTCATCGATATTGTTATCGATAAAATAATCCGTGCCTGCACTTACTTTTTTAAATGTGTACTCAACTGATTGTAATTTTTAATGAATTTTTACAGTAAATTTTAAGTTTTTTTAATTGCAATTCTTTATATTCGAATTCTCCCTGAGCGAAGAAACAAATTTTAGTTAAATTTTTTGATTGTATGTTTTCAAACGCGGCAAACTGGATATCCTCGGTCTATGTCTATTAGTACCCTTCACTCTTAGATGGTTTCTTACCTGCACCGAAATGCATCTGCAAACCGTTACACCCTAATAAACGAATGACAAAACTGTCTACCTTTATCTGATGAAGATTATTTTTTTTTTGTTTGTTTTAATTATTGCGATATTCTTTAAGCTTGTTTTATGAATTTAATCGAAACTGACAGACAAAAATAATTTTTTACTTAGTATCGTTTACCAGTTTCGGCAGTTAACGTTAAAGTTTTTCACGTAGAACCTGTAGTTAACTGCCACTTTAAAAACGGTATTAAATTGCTTTCGTGAAACCGGCAATTAAATTCATAAGCTTATATTTTCGACTGAAGTACATACGTACTTCCCAGTAACTTTTACTCAGTTAATTTCACCAACTCCAAGGGGTCCTGGCTATTTAAAATAAAGTTATTCGAATTGAGCTCATAGGCCGCCGCTTCGGCTTATACCAGTTAATAAACTAGTAAGTTTTTACCAGATACTCTACTAGAAAATTGATTGTCTAGTTTGGATTTTCACTGCAGGATACTACCGTTGCAGTACTAATATCATTGAATAGCAACAACAAATGCAAAACTAACACATCAACCAATTACAATGATTTTCAAAAGCGACTTTGATCTTTTCACTCTATTTACAATACCATCAAACATTCGACTTCGAACAGTTAACGTTAGTGAGTGGGTGCAGTGAGATGTTTACTGAGCATTTGGTGGCGGGCGAAGAGTGCAGTTGGCAAAGTGAAGAGATGCGAAGTAAATTAGAGTAAAGTTGGCTGTGTTGTACTGACATTGGCAGCTTAGCGCGCTTGTCTAACTAATCGTGACTTTACGCTTCGTTAGATTTTGCAAATAAACCTGCAGCAATGCCTGTGGTGGGTGTACTGGCAAGCGTTGCGTTAGACAAAGAAGTCTGGCGGTTAGTTTGTAAGGGGATAAGTAAGTAGGGAAGTGTAGAGTGGAGTGTGAAGGTTTTCAGCTATATACTTTTGATGCCTATATAGAAACCACCAACAATAAGCGTTATAAAGCTGCCAAAAATCGTACTAAATATTTGTACCATCGATGTTGCTACGCTAACTGATCATGTGTATGGCGGTACTTACATAGATATGCATACATATATTTAATGGGTGTGTGAGTGATTTAGTAATAAACTGTAGCCGTTGCAAATAAATAAAAAAAAGCGCATTGCTTAAAAGTAAGTGCCTCGATAGACGAAAAGTTTGGCTCATTAACTCGCAAAGGCATAGAAAAATAAAAAAAGCCACAGTCGATTTGCGATTAACTTAGCTGTCGTTTTTCGTTTCGTTAGCATTGCGGCTGTCAAACGCAAAACTTTTGAAATTGTGCCTTTTCCCCATACTGTATATACCCAGTCAAGTCAATAAATTAAGCAAAATCGACACCAAATAGCCACCAGGTGCGAAGTGCTGAAAAGAACGCATGGTTATGTGCTAATATACAGTGGTCGAAAATTTATAGCCGCACTTTTATCACATTATTTTTGTTGTTATTTAATTTGGAAAAAATAAAATATGTTGCGATTTTTTTCTTAGTAAACTTGTTTGCTTCTCAAAGCATCGATCAATCCCTTGCGAGGCCCAGTAATTAGCGTTTCCGCTACTGAGTTAGGTGAAAGTTCCAAAAACTGCTTTTCAGTCGCTTGTTTTATATGGAAAAGGATTTCCCATGCAAATAGATTTTGAATTAGTATTAGAATTTAGAATTTTTGTGAAAAGAAATGAAAAATATTTGAAATTTTAGAGACCAAATAATTTGAAGAAAATCAAATCAGCTGCTCTACTCATACTACCTTTTTAATATGCCTTGGTCAAAGTACCCCGATCAAGGCAAATTTATATAAGGTGGTGTTACTAGCTCAGCTGATTTTGTGTATGTGTTTCGCCACACGGCTTCTGAAATCAAATTGAAAAATTTTGTTTGAATTTCTACACACACTTTTACAGATTTTGACAGTTAATGCCGCCAAAGCAAAAACAAAATACATGTAAATTTTTGTTTTTGTACTCCTGCTATCATCTTATATTCATTCGCCTTGGCCCCGAGCTTTGTTATTTTCGCCGTAAACTCTCTGTTGGTAATAAATAAGAATTAATTTTTATGTAAAAAAACAAAACCGACTTCAATTCTAATATACAAATTTTATATTACCGTTAATTTCTACATGATTCAATGATCGGATCTAAATCAAATTAGTATGGGACCAACCTTTCCTTTGAAAAAAGAATTATAGAAATCGGTAAACGTGGTCCCAAGTTATGCGGTAACATGCATAAAAAAAGTATTCAGACAAATTGATAACCTCCTTGTTTTCCGAAAACGGTCAAAAATACTGAGAAATTTCTAAATAAATAAATTATTACAAAAAGACATCCGCTTATCAAATTTCTGTCTGATAACTAACTAAGGGACTAGACTGCGTTCAAACAACTCGATGTTCTGATATTTTAGTATAATTTTGTATGGGTCTATCTCTACTTTTTCTGGTACTTACAAATATCGGACCAAAGTTATAATACCATTTCATATTCCTAAGAAGTATAAAAAGGCTCAATTTAAAACCCGCGAAAAGTTCTTGATGCCATATCCCACATCTTTGTCTACATAGTCATCATTCAAGACACTAACCGCCGTAAAAAAATAGATGATTAACTAACCGCAAACAGCTATTTCAAATAGGACTACCCTAACCACCCTGTTTTAACTATCGAACCATCGGCGTAGCCAGAATGAAATTTAGGGGGGCGCTCGACCCTATTAAGCTGGCATTTCAGGGTACTATTTTATATATATATAAGGAAAATTTGAAAGTTAGGGGGGCGCTCGAGCACCCCCCTGCCCCTACCTGGCTACGCCCATGTATCGAACCCCTTTTTAAAAGTTCCAGCAGACAAGAACTGCATCCGAATCTCTTTTTCTAATGCATCCGTTTCTATGTATTGAGCGATAAATGAATCAGATCATATGGAGAGAAGAGGGTAATACTTTTGCTAATTAATCGTTTTGTCGGCGAAGTCTTTCGCCACACAATTATCGGAGAAAGTCGCACAACTTCAGCTCATTATTTTCAATGTGGCAGAGCGATTATTATTTTTCCTGAAACCGCTGCTGCTGCTGCCATCAGGCCTGTTAATAGCTGGTATTACTTTTTGTTGTTTTATCCTTTCCACTTCATTTTGCGTTTGTTTGCTAGGTGATTTATTACCGAATGAAATAACTGCTACATTAACTAGCTAAGAGTTCGCTGCAGTTTTCGCACCAAATGTTAAATCAATTGTACATTTTAGGTAGTTGGAAAGAGGCCGCTAGTATGAAAGTGCGACAATAAATAAATGGTACTGAAGTAAGTGTGTTAATAAATTTAGTCTAACTTTCAACCTTTAAGGAATTACTTAGCTTCATATAAATTGTTAAGAGGGTGTTCTTTTACAAATGTAGAACTTGGCAAAGTTATGCGGTAACATACATAAAAAAAAAAAAAATAATAAAAAATAAAAATATTCCGACGAACTGATAAGCTCCTCCTTTTTCGGAAGTCGGTTAAAAAGTTGGCGTAAGCCATTGCGAGCTCACTGTTACCCCCTAGCGCCTAAATACATGCTACAGCGTAAGTGTTAACGATTGAATTTCTTTTCGTTAAAAACCGCAATTGAATTATTTTGTTAATTACCTAAGCATCGAAGCAAAACATCGATAGTTTCGATGCATCGATGATTCTCCGACATCCCTAATGTAATGATTTAGCATGAATCGGAAGTTATCACAATATTATAATAATGCGCACGCCTTAGATTTTAGCGAGTGCAAGTGACAAAAAGAAAGTCAGATCCGTTCACTTGCACGAATTAAAGAATTAAAAAAAAGTCATATATTTTAAAGATATTTGTTGATCTGAATCGCCTCCGAATTTTTTCCTATTTGCCTCAAACATTTTTTATTAAAAGGTTGCGAAGTATTATTTAACTTAAATTCTTTGTAATAGTTTGCAGTTTTTTGTGTGGATAGGTGCTAGCGAGCACCCGCTAATGTCAGACGCGAATGCCCATAAAGTTATTTGGGCAGCAATCTTATAATATTAATGTTGGGCAGTCCCCTACTTTTGTAACTACTCAATGAAGTGAAGTACTCAATATATCCTTTGCTAAAAAACGAGGGACGAATTGGTGAGTAACCGGGGAAAACTCATTAATTTGCTTTAAATTGAACATCTCGATTTGTGCATCTAGAGCGCTCGTAAATCCCAGACGAACAAATTGGGAGGTATTTAGATGCTGCAACTCGGAGACAAACCAATAACATAAGATCCTTTTGAAAATCCCAAGCGCGCCTAGCGCGTACTTCCTACTAAAGTCACCGGAACGCATTTGGGACACCAAAATTAGGGATATGGTTGGTCCGAAGGTCTCTACTTCTCAACATTCAGAACATACGTTATCTGAGTACCTGTCCATTGCGACATTAAATGAAATTTCAAGGCTGATGAACTCGCGCGTCATGGAACGACTTTTCTGATACATGTATAAGTAATACTAGCGGTATCCCTCTTCAAACATGAACATTTCTTTTAAAAGAAAACTTCATCGAAATTGCCAATTAAGAAATATGGCGAATGGAACCGACCTGTCAAGCTACCACGCAGCCAGATGGGGCACACCCTGGAACGACTACTGCAGAAGCGACATGGATGAAGCGGTTAGATGGTTATCCTTATACTAGTACTTACGTTATATTTGTCCGAGATCCGGGTAGTGGGCTATCATTATCCGTGTACCAGCATACAGGGTTATTTTTAAACGAGTAATCGGGTGGTTATCCAGATACTTGAAAAGTGGATTTTATTTTTTATTTGCCCCAAGTTTTTCATCTGAGTGCTCATGTGGGCGGTTATCTTTATCCAGGTGTCCGGGTAGGGGGTTATCATTGCACGGCTATCCGGATAGGTATTTAAATACCGGATACTTGAATAGCGTTTTCTGTGATCCGCGTAGTGGGTTATCTTTACATGGGGATTCTTTCTACCCGAGTACCTGGGTAAGACGTTTTATTTATTCAGGTACCCGGGTAGTAGATTAGATTTTTACGGGTACCCGGATAGAGGGTATATACATTCCTCCTTGAATGATAATAATTTTTATTTCGCATTGGTAAAGGTACCTTTCTGAGAGCAACCAATAAAGCATTGTTGAGAAGGTTGCAGTTAATCTTCGACCGCTATTGTATTTCTCCGCTGATAAGTGTTACTATGCATTTGAAGGACCCTGAGTCTAAGTAAGTCCACTTTGAACCTGAACTAACCTTCGGAAATAGGAGTTTACTTGAAAGCTTTGTTAAAATTTGCTATCGCAATATGATGCGTTAAATCATGCCGGCGAAAGGGAGCCGAGGTGATGCGACAAAGCGCCCCGACCGGTCTCGCGCGTTCCAAGACTCTTTCAAACTCGGAGAAATTTTATTTTCTTTATTAATGATTTCTAGATAAAAATCTCATCCTTCGATTGAGACGACTTGGAACGTTCGCCCAACTCACCAGCACAAACGCTGATTACTGGGCCTTGCAAAGGATGAATCAATGCTTTGAGAAACAAACAAATTTACTAATAAATAAAGTTACAACAATTTTTATTTCTTCCAATAATTGTTGTTTTAGATCTAATGTTACTACCTGTTTGATATGCCTTGGGACCACCTAAAGTGAAAATGATTATTACAACAAAATTTTGTCGAAGAAACCCTTTAAATCAACGAGCGTATAAGTATTGAATTGCAAACTCAATTAGTTATGTACTTACCACTCAAATCGATACGAAATATGGGTATATCCGCATATGTGCTCGTCGTATTTAATCGCAGTTTCTTCGTCTTCGAATCGTATGCCTCCAGGAAGAACTGCTGCTGCAGACCACCATCATAGCCCGGCATGCATTCCAATTCCATCGTTGAGTAAACAATGTTATCGTAATTTTCCAGATTGATAGTACCACCTCCCCCACCCCCACCAATACCGTTGCCATTGCTAATGCCATCCAGACCAAGACCGTGCCCATTACCATTGCTGCCGACCAGACTGTGCGTAGCAATGCCATTACTAAAACTATATTCCATGCGTGAGTAATCGAAATGTGGCCCATCTGCCGCATCTGCTATATCGGCTGACGGCAAACGAAACTCACTCCGTAGGGCGCTCAGAGTGGGTGGTGATAGCTCCTCATCCACCTCAATGAAGCTATTTAGCTCCGCATCCTCGCCATCGTCGGTCTCGTCTGCATCAATATCAGCTTCAACACCAGCGCCAGCTTCAGCGGTGTTAACATCCACTTCGCCGTCCGACTCTTTATCCATGCCATCAGCGCCAACAGCCACTTCATCGGCTGGCATGTCAATCTCATCACCGTCATCTTCATAAGCAAATTTGTTACCAAAAATTTCTGCTGCTCTGTCACTTTCATCTGAGCTGGAGGCTAGATCATTAATTGCGCGTTGCATGCCAATAACATCGATGCCGCGATTACCATTTGTTGTGCGTTGCTGTTCTTGTTCATATTGTTGTTGCTTTTGATGATGAAATGCAACGGCGTGATTGCTTATTTGAAGCGCGCTAGTTGGCGCGCTGGGTGTTGCATTGTTATTGTTGACTTTGTTGATGTTTTGGGTAAAATTGTTATCGTGATGGCTAACTTTGCTGTACTGCGAGAAATGGTGTTCGCTTTTGCCGTCAGCATTAATCCTACTACTACTACTGCTAACACGAGCAGTTGCGCCAACATTTTTGGCCGTCAAAGATTTGCGTATACGCACCTTATCAATTGAGCTTGTGGCGGACGCTGCTATATCATCTGTGGCAATGAGCGGCGGCGCTGATTCATGCTGAAGCTCTATTTGTGAGCGCTGTTGCACATTTTGTTGGTGTGTTTGATTATTCGCCTTTGAGTTGATGAAATTGCCAATTGGTGGGCCAAAAGTGCTGCTGCTGAGTGTGATTGTGTTGTTGTCGTTGGTTGCAGCTGTTTCAAACACTTTTACTGGCGCTAAATCTGCGCTTATTTCTCCTTTGTAAGCTGCATGTTGCTCATACACATTTGCCGCGGTACTACCTGCTTCTCTCTTGGTAAGTCGCAATTCTTCGTGAACTTTAGCTGCTTCATCATCCACTGATGCTTCGTTGGCTTCCTTTTCCGTTTCCTTTGATATAGCTGTTGCTGTTGGCATTGCCGTTGCCATTACCGTTGAATGATGGATTACTTCGCTCATCACTGGTGCCACCTCACGTTTGTGCGTATTTTTTCGCCGCCAATTGTAGTATTTCGTCGCTGGCGTTTGCTTGTTGTTGCCCTTGTTCTGCACATTTCTGCCATTGACGACGACAGCCGCAGCCTCATCACCAACTGTTGGCAGTGATAAATTTGATTTTTGCCTTTTGTTGCTCACATTCATCTTCATCTTCTGCGTCTGCTTTGAAGTTAGCTTTCTTGAATGCTGTAGCTGTAGCTCCTTCACTGACGCAGCCTCTTTGTGAATCTTCTTCTTTTGCTTATGCCTCGAACTGGTGTTCTTGTTGTGCTGTTTAGCTGTTGTTGCATGCTTATCAGCAGCACGTTTCACTCGATGTTTGCTGTCCACTCGCATCTTCGTGGGTAATCCATCAGTTTTGTTATTGATATACGCCATCGTGGCTAAGTTGCCTGCGGCATCTGTACCCTCCAAAGTCGCTGGCTTACGCGTTGCAGCTGCCAGCAATTTTTTGTTAATGTCAGCTCCAGCTACTGCGGACGCTTCAGCTGCGATGGCTGCTGCTGCTGCTGCTGATGATGATGATGTTTCCTTGTTATGTTTTTGTTGCTGCTGCTGTCGTTGCAGCTGTTGTTGTTGTTGTTGTCTCTTGATTGCCGCCAGTGTCTGAGATGGTGTAAATGATGTACGTTCTTTCAGGCGTTGCAGTTGTTGTCGCTGTTGTTGTTCGTTTACTTGTGGCGGCCAATGTTTTTGTTGTTGGTGATGCAATTTCTGTTGCTGCTGACCAATCAATGTATTTGCATTATTTTTTCGCTGTTGCGGTTGCTTATTAAGAATGCTGCTGATTTTATTATTGGTTTTGCTAGTGCTGCTCGCTTTGTTGTTGCCTCTGCCATCGCTATTGTGAATTTTATTGCCATTCTTATTGTTGTTGCTATTGTTATTATTACGCTCACGTACATACTCCATATGCGGAAAATTTGATTCGTGTCGGCCATATTGTGCCGGCACCATCTGATTGCCATGCATTGTTGTCTGATTCGATGAGTTTAGCGAGGCGGAGGTCACCACATATGGACGCAACGTACAGTTGCGCAACGCGCCAGGCTTAGCTGTGTGCGTGGACAATTGATAAAAAAGAGAGAAAATAACAGCGTTATAGCTCTTAGAAAATAAAGTGATTGTTAGTCGTATTTGGCAAGCCTTTGTCCAAATAAATGTATGTATGTATGTAAATAAATGCAATTATTTGAGATTATCTATAAATTTACTTACTTTTCCTGCTAAAACGAAATAAATACATAGGGTATGTAGCTTATAGTATTCCTTTAACCCTTTGTATACAGGCTGGACCCAATGGACCCGAATACAATTTTATTATGTTACCATTATCAATATCTGATGGTTTTGAGCTCAATAATTCCCTTAATTTGCTTATTTTCATGTAGTCTATAGTATACTTTTGTGATTATTTTAATCATTTTTAAATAATTGATGTTGCTATTCTAAATCTAGCGGGAACTGCCAGCCCAAACAAAGGGACCTAATGGACCCGAACAGTAGGTAATGCTAATTTTTCCATGGTAGGCAAAAGGTTAAACCATTTTCTCAGTGCTCAGAATTCATGATTCTAAAATGAGTATTTCTTTCGCCATAAATATGATTGATTCTGAGCCCAGTCAACTAGGCTGACCCATTTCGGACTCTTTTGGTGTCATAAATTCTGAATTGAAAAATAGTAAAAAAGTTCACGTATAAATAAAAGTTTATCAGTAATCAGATTCATGAATAATATTTGCTTTTGAGACTTAGAGAAGCGTCATATTTCAAACCCGAATATGACTCCTAACTTGGACTCGTATTGGCGTACCGTTCCAAAACTGGAAGTATGTTCTATTCTGACCTTTTTCGAGCTCATAGTCGGAGTTGCAACTCAGAATTCTGGGAATTTTCTTACTCTAAACTGAGCCTGAATGTTTACAGGGATTTTTCATATCGCTTTGTTCTTGTTAAATAGCCACTTTGGAAAAATCATATGAGTAAGTTTCTAGTTACAAGAAATGTGGCTTAAGTGAGTCTTGCAACCAAAATACACTAGTTAGTTTCTAAATATTTTCAAAAAATAAAAATAAAAAAATAAACGAATGGATGGAATTCTTTGACCGAAACTTAACTACAGTGCGAAATTAAATTAATTTATAAAAAGTATTAAAATTATAATTTTTAGTTTTATAAAGCATTAGTAGAAGGCAATTGGCCGCCAATTCTAAATTTTCCGCACTTCGGAGAGAAACGGGTTGTATTCTGGATTCGGATGAATATCAATTTCATCGTCAATTTTTCACGACAGACAATCGCTACTCAACTGCCAACAAAGAAAGACACTTACCCTCTCCTAGGGATATCTTCAAACGCGCAGAAGAGATTTAACAGCATTTACTGAGTGACAATCGCGGCCTTTACCAACTCTCGCCACAGACGAAGGGTTTCAGCTACCTCGACTCTCATAGCTCTGGCGCAAATATCTATGATCTTGATACTTTTAACAGGCTAAAAACCACACATGACCCCGACATACCCAAAAGGCAGCTAGCGCAATGTTTGCTTTAACGAATATTCATTTTAATAAAAGTAAAATATTTTTTTTTTGTCCGTATAACAGTATATGGCCACAAAAAGCCACCAACATTGACCTGGCATTGGTCATAGGCATTACTAATTAAAAAGAGTTGTGTGTGGTGAATCCATCAAATTTTCTAAGTGCCAGACTACTGTTTAATATTCTCAGAGGCCAAAATAATTAAATTTTCTCAATTGGCAATGAAGCAAATGTATTTTTATGAGCAACTCTTGTTCGCACTGAGATTTTCAATTAAATGTACAATCATGAAATGCATTTTCCATAGATATTTTTATTCAACAATAACAAAAACAAATAGATATTTTTATTTATATTTTTATCTTACTTGCAGCATTCCTGTTTTGTTTGCTTAAAATCTATGCATTTTTCACAAGTCATAGCATTGTTACATTACCTCATTTCTAACAGAGTACCTACATACATATGTATATTTTTCAAGCTAACGTGCCGCCGCAGCTTTGAAGTTTTCCATATATTTTACATGAGAAAAATACATGCTGTTTCATGGCAGAAATACCACTCGGAGGAATGCCATTGCCTGCCGAGGGGCGACCGCTCTTAGAAAAAAACTTTTGGTTATTTGGGCATTGCTCAGAACAAGTATTTAACCCAGGGCCTACAAAGTGGTAGTACACTCCTCTAACCACTCACTCACAGCGGCCGCAAAATACTTGATAACAAAATTTAAAATTTTAGAGTTTTCTGAAAAAAATTGATATTCGATTAAAAGTTAACAATTCTATAGCACTTCTAAAAAAAGTTTTATTCTCCCCATGTAAAATATATGGAAAATTTCAAACCCCGGCGGCATGGTTAAATATTAGTCGTTTAAAATAAAAAAAAAATGGCTCCCTTATTTTCGATATTCCTCAGTTCTGGCGGTGGCAGCAGGAAAATGCCAAAAAGTAGATTTTCCTGTGCATTTCTAGATCACCCTAATATGCATACATAAAATCAATTTACTTATTTGATTTTATTTAATTCCCCCTACATACGAGTACAATAACACAATCACTGGACAATTTTCATAAGATGTCTACGCAATTTCTGAGTGTTGTGCAACTGTCCACATAAATTCTTCCTTGCAACAAGTAAGCCAATAATGCTATATCATAAAAGCACCAACTTCCAAAATAACATGTACTTACATACATATACATATGTGCTGGTTCGTCATTTACCATAATAACTGAAGATACAAACTGTTGTGTGTTGACTTACCTGCTGGCACTACTTGAAACAAACACGGCTCTGATTGTTTGCCAATTGAATTTTGGCCCCAGCATGCCAGTGTGCCATAGTCTCGCTCCCCCTTTGGCGTGTATATCAATTCGCTTACGGTTTCTACTGTAAGAGAAGAGCAAACAATATACACAAATGTTGTTAGTTGTTTATTTGAAAACATAAGTTTATATACATATGAATATTTGGCGATATATATACTACATACGACAGAATTAACATTTCTAAGTGATTGGTTTTGAATTTCGTTGTTTTTACGAAAATTTTTAAATAAATTCAATTCTCATCAGTTGCGTCATCATTGAGTCATGTACGGGTATAACAAAAGGATTATAAATTTGCCTCAGGTATGCTGTATGTAAATGATTGACCCGGCAAGGTAAGACGTGAGAGAAAAGCGGAAAACCAGCAATGTTGTTATATCAGAATAAAAGGGTACAACTCAAAATAAAACTTAAAAATTTTTCGCTTTCAATTGAATGCCAAGCAAAATGAAACTGAATCTTGATTTAAACCAATTTTTATGTTTTCAATACCTAGAGGACTGAACTAGTTAATCAATTCAGTCCTCTAGGTATTGAAAAAGTAGTAAAATAATTGAAAACATTTCATAGGAACTTTTCCCACTGATTGTGTATAGTCGTAAATATTAAATTTATTTTGCTGTTGCAATAGAAATACTTGAATTGCTACATCAAATAAAATAACTCTCAATGTGTGCCACCACAAAATAATATTAATAGTTAAATGAATACAATAGTAAAAAGGTATTACATTACCTAATAGGCTTTCAGTAAGTAGCTAAAATTTTCCTTTTTTCGCGCCTTTTATAATTTTTTGAAAGTATATTCGGTACAAACACATTCCTTTAGGTACATTTAGAGCATAGCCAAACAAAATATAAAAAAATCTTCCCAATTATGTAACTCTAGCGCATACTTATGTATGTATGTATGTCCATAATAAATATTATAGAGCATGAACAGTTCATCATTTCATTATGTTCGTCGCCCTGAAGGCTTTGGTTTTAAAGCCCAGCGATTCTAGTGTTATCTCAGTTCGCCAATATTAACCTCAGCAACTGACTGCATATCTTCTGCAGCTGAAAATGGGCTCAAACGTCAAAATGCATATTTCGGATTATAACAGATGTGGACGTACTGCTCGTCTCCTAATTTGGTATGATGACAGTCGCGAACGAGTGAGTGGTCGTCTTCGTTCGTTCAAAAGACCATTCGATCACTAAATGGTGTTCAAATGCCTATAAATTGGTTTGCGCTTATGTCATTCTGACATAAGAAATATCGCCCACGTTTATTTGTACTGGATCCAGTTGGTAGTGAAATGCTGGCTCCGATGCTCTGCGTTTGTTCAACGAACTGGACGGAATTGCTTCGACGATGAATTATTCCTCCCAAATTTAAATTTTCTCTGTTATGTGAGAATAGGGTCCTTTGGGACCCTTAGATCCAATTGGTAAGGATAGAAAAAAAACTATTTCAATTACAATGTGAAATTCCATCGTAAACAGAATTGTATTTTTTAGCAGAAAAAATAAAGTAAAAAAAAATAGATTGATCTGACCCAAGGCAAGTGAGAAAATGGGATTCAAAATTAAAAAAGCGTAAATTTTGACCCTAAGGACTAATGTGGGTTAAAGAAATTGGGGTAGAATACAGTTTAGTGTTCTTTTTGTTCATTTAATTTTTTTCAACAAATAAAGCCAACAAAATGCAAAATCTACTTGTGCTACTGCGAAGTTGCGCTGCATAAAAAAAAACCATAAATAACAAGGTTCGGAAAAAATTTTTTTTTAAAGAATTTCATGGAAGTAACATGCTGAATTGTTGTCGATAGCATTAATAATAATAATAAATCGACGCTTAGACAATATGTTAGCGTTTGGCCAAGCTTCTCCTCCGATTTGTGATGTGAGACCTATGGTTTTACGCGGACTATATACGGCGATTGTATTTTTATTAGAAGCTGTTTTTCGTGGCAGAAATACATAAATTTTTAAAAGTTTTGCTTTAATTTCTGAAATGCAGCTGATTTTAGACTTTTTGTTTGTTTGTGTGTAATAAGGTGCACAATAAAAATCTACACAAAACCTTCGATAATAACATTGGTTTACAGCCAAAATGTTCAATGGATGACACTATTTTACTTAAGGTATTAGGACGCGTAATACGCCTTGTGCATCCCGTAATTATGTATGCCGGTATGTAATACCCTGCCTCACGGGTCCAGGAGTTGTAAGTAGGGGTCGACGAAAATTTATCCGGTTTCGATAGTAAAGAACCAAAATAGTTGCTTGATAGCCTATATATATTTAACTTTATTTTATTTTATTTTTTTTTTTTTGAGTGGTGTATTTTGATCTTGGCGCCGTCACTTTGTGTCTTCATACGTGGGGAAGCTTTCAAAGCCAACTGCAGACTAAAATGAACCTGATGTTTGGTATAACACTGAGTGGGGCGAGGCGGAAATTGCTCAGCGGCAGCAGAGATTTGAGTACTTTTGTCTTTTCAATGCGACAGCATAGTACGCCACTATTATCTTTGCTCAAGAGATTCTAGATTGTTGAGTACCCTGAGGCGGAATGCTGGGTTAATTAAAGCACTGAGTTCGTCGGACTCACATACTGTCGAATCTCCACTGATAGTTCCAAAACTTTCTCAGGGTCAGGATTTTGAGTTTTTTTATACAAAAAAAAAGGTGATTAGGGGGGGGGGGGGGGGGTAGGGGGAGTTCTCCTGATTGCAAATATATATACTTTTAGCCGCAGGAGGCTTATAGTTTTTAAGTTATTTGTTGTTAAAGTGTGTAAATTGAACTAACCTCTCGGCGCTATTTCACACAATAAACACTATATTTATGTACACACTTCGGTAAAATAGTTGCATTAAAACCCCGCACAATGAAATGTAAACATATTTTTTACATATATGATGTATTTTTAGTTAATTAAGTAAGTTTTTATAATTATCACGCACTTATATATGTATACGCATGGTTTCACACTGACATTAGAAGAGTGCTGCCACATCTAAGAAAATAACAATAAAAGAGAATAGGTTTTATCGTACCCATTTTCTTGCTCAGCGTTGAATTAGTAGTATATATATATTAAAAAAATGACAAGCGCCGCAGGGTAAAATTGTTAATAAAAAATCGCCCGATTTTTTATTAAAAATTTTCATTATTTATCGAAGTATTGATTTCTATGGAAAAAGCGCCGCAGGCGAAAATTGTTAATAAAAAATCGCCCGATTTTTTATTAAAAATTTTCATTATTTATCGAAGTATTGATTTTTATGGAAAATTTGCCGCAGGCAAAAATTTGTAATAATAATTTCATTATTTATCGAAGTATTGATTTTTATGGAGAAAGCGCCGCAAATTATTTACCAAATTATCGATGTACGCTTTCTACATTTGTGTACTTTGAACTGCAATAACACCAGTAAATATTATTTCCACCCGAAAAAAATTATACCGTTATGATCAGGAGTAAGACACTTATACTTCCTAATTATGCGCACTTATTTGTGGTGTATTTTTTTTAACGTATGGTAGCATACATTTTGTGTTACTGTCAGCCATTGTTATTTCTGCTTGTTTGTGAAATGTGCAAACGTTTGTGAAGACATTTATAAACGCGTTTTACTTAATTAATTAATTAAGAATTGTATATTAAAGTGGAAATCTCAGGCCGGGGTTTTAATGCAACTATTTTACCGAAGTGTGTACATAAATATAGTGTTTATTGTGTGAAATAGCGCCGAGAGGTTAGTTAAATTTAGAAACTTTAACAACAAATAACTTAAAAACTATAAGCCTCCTGCGGCTAACAGGTCTATTCTGGGCTGGTAACATAAATTTTGTAACCGGTAATTAAAGTGTCTGTCAATTTTTAAACCTTTTCCGCATTCTGTGCTCTCTTGTAACCGGTAAACATTGTTACCATCTCATAAGCTAGTAACAAAATATTGCCCCGTGCAATAAAGGAATTTCCACAAATCTTCATAGCTGAATTGCTGAATATTTTCACTGCATTACCAACGTACCTAGAATCGCGGTGACAAAAACTGGTAACATTTTTTGGTAATAAAATTTTCCGGTAACAAAATCATCGGTAACGTGTAGAATAGACCTGTAAAAGTATATATATTTGCAATCAGGACAACTCCCTCTACCGTTCCGTAGCTACCTTAATGCGGAACTCCGGGGATGCCAAACTAAATTGCAGCCGGCATAAGTTTCACTTTTCTCTTGGAAAATATTCTTTGGTCTTCCAGGCTGAGGCATTTGCAATCCTCAAAGCCATGGATTACGTTTGTGGAAAACAGGTGGAGAGGAAGGAGTTTACGTGTCTGCAGGTACAGCCTGCCCTCTATCTAAGTTCTTTCAAGCTAGTTCGGAAATTCAAGTCTCGACTAAATTATGTTGGTAAACATAACGAGCTTTCTTTAGTCTGGGTGCAAGGTCACTGCATACAACTTGATGGACTGCTGACTGTTCACTTTACGTGGCACAAACACCTGACTGTGATAGGCGTAAATGACAACTCCATTTGCCCATCCTGAGGAGGATGAGTCGTGGAGCACTTTTTGTGTTTGCTTGCTTGTTGCTTGTCATCAGTTTTTCTACATTCGGTCTTTTCACTATTGCCAGTTTCTGATTTTAAAGTTTAGTGTAAAACGGTTTGCGTTTTTTTGTTTCTAGTTTTGTGTTTTCGCATCACTTTAAAACTCATAGCAATAAAAATAAAAATGATGCCATCAAGCCAAATGAACTATTTTACAAAAACGCCATATGCAAATTCATAAGTAAGCCGAACATGTGAGGAGTTTATAGTGAAGAGAATGTAAATAACGCTAGCGCTCGGAGTGCTCTTAAAACAATATATAACTCCTCAGAACGTGAGAGTACTTTGATAACTTAACGAGCTCTGTGTTTTAAAACTTGCAAGTGTGTAATCACATTATTTTAATTAATATGAGAAAATAAACATTTCTAATTTTATTTTTTCCACTCCGAATTTAGTTTTGGAAATGAATTTTGCTTTACCGATAATGTGAACACTGCTCATTGTAGAACAGAAAATTTGTAAAACACGCGGCAAATTTTATCGGGCGTTCAAAGTCAAGAACTTGCTTATTGTTATTATCATTCAAGCACGTTAATGTGATCATGTTGGCCCGAAAAAGATTGTAACAATATGCTATGACAGAGGATCACTCTAAAAGTAATTGTAAAAAAAAGTTTTAAATATGTACCAATTGATTTTAGCTTAATAAATAACCAAAAAAATCCCTTCAAAAACATTGTGAATATTACCAAAAAAATCAAGACGTGGTCACTTGTTTGAGTCCCTGTATGTATGCATATAAAGCTTAAACCTATGCGCGTATATACATATCGTCATCTAAGGGTGAAAGAGTGTCAAGTCCATTTTTTGAAATTGTTCAGGAGAGAGGAAAAATTAGTTTTTGAAAAAAAAAATGGAATTGGCACCTTTTCTCCTTTAGGTAGCGATATGTATGTAACTACTTATGTATGTATGACCAAATGTGATTTGGTAAACTATCGAAACTTTATGTAATAAATAGTTATGCACACATTTGTATGAGAAAATTGTAGTAAATTAAACAAAATGTAAAGAGCAAAGATACAAATGTTAATACTTAAAAAACGAGAAATCACGCGGATCAAAAAGAATCGGAAATCATGAAAATTTCTTTTGGTTTTCTAAAAAAATTTCAAGTTTTAGATTCGTACGAAAACGGGAACACGGCCTAATTTTAATATTTCTATACTTTTGAATCAGAGTTCCTTGTACAGATACTACGCTCATAGCTTTTTTTACCTTTATATATTTTATTTATTACCTTTACTTTTTGCCTTTATACTTTTTAAAGCTTTGCCACACAAAATTGTATTTTTTAACAAAAGAAATTTTTTGCATCACTACCGGTTGGTTGGTACGAGATAGTAGTAAAACTAAATGCGGCTGGTCATTGAAAAGCAGTGATAAGCATTTTGGCATGGAATTTTCAAATTTTTACATTACCGAAAGAAAAATGTGCCTTAGATGAAGGCTTGGTGAAAATCATTGCATAAAAGGGCATTTATTTTTTAATATTACATTACCATAAGTCTCAAAGTGTGTATCGTTCGCTTCGATTATAGTGCGATGTACGTCACCGGTGGTCGTGGCTTCCTGTATCGTCGCATAATGGCCTGATGGTACTTCAAAGTGTTCGCCGCTCGTTGAAAAAGTCCATTCAAAATCAATTTCCGGTGGGTCGGAATTAACACGGCAAGGTATAGGCACCGCCTCCTCTAGCGAAGCGCCAATCACAATCATTGTATTAGTACTGCAGACGGGCGCGTCTGAAAATAAAACAAACAAAAAATTATAAAAGGAATTTAATCAACGAAAATTAATTAAAAATTTTTTCAACAACAAAGAAAGTAGCAACATGTGTTGCAAAGCTCAAAGGAATAATTATTAAAGTAAATACATAGTCAAGTAAAAAAACTGAACTGGTATATATGTATGTCAGTATATGAACCAGGCCGTATGACGAAGCTTATATACCCAAAAACTAAGTTTGTTTTTGCTTTAAAGTATTTATGTTTGCATAATGAACAATTTTATCACAATAACGTTGAAAACACTTTGCTCGCGCACAAAACAAATATTTGCGCGCATAATCATCGTTATCGATACATTTGTATGTATGTATGTCAACGGAATATGCAAAATACAAAAGAAAAATTCTCACACATAACATACATAAATACATATGTATTTATGTTGATATTTATTTGCATTTGTTGCGAGGATTATCACACGCTCTATACATCAAAATTGCGTGCGCACCACAGTGCATTTGTGTGCGTGTGTTAAATATTTGAGGTTTCTTTTCTCACTCGTGCGGAAAAAGGATCAAAACAAGAAAACAAATTTTGCAAGAAATATTTCCAACAATCAAGCGATGCACACATTTGTGTGACTAGTTAGTTGTATGTGCAAGCATTTTCCTCAGCATGTCACAATAGTTTATACACATATGTATGTACAAACGTACATTTATACAATTTGTTCATCTCTTTAATTCATTCATTTTCATTCCAAACGATTGAGTTTGAAATTTCATTGCAATAGCTCATGCAAACACAAGGTTAAGTGTAAATATTTTATTCTAAAACAGTATCTACCAACAAAGGCATGCACTCACTAACCCATTTATGTTTACCCAGTAGCGTAGAGAATATAAGTAGTTAATCATAAGAAAATGTGCATGTATGTATGTAAGTAACTACATACATATGTATATCCATGCAGGGAAATCCCGAACAAGTGAACTAAATTTTTAGCTACGTACCCTAGTTATCTCTCCTCTTAAAAAAAAAAATAATATTTTGATTAGTTTTAGAAAGGATGTATATGTATATTTTTTAATTTAACTTAATTTTTTAAAACGTATTTTAGGCATTTTTTATTTAAAAAAAATTTAATTAAATTTTCTCTAATGGTTTGCTTTTTATGGTTTTAAAAAGAATGTTGTTTTAGTTCCATATAATTTTGAGAGACTTATTTTTAGTTTACTCTTTTTTAAATATTTTTTTTAGTTTAAATTTTTAGATTTTATTTTGTAAAAAAGAAAAATATTTTGTTTTTAATTCATTTACTTTTCAGAAACATATTCCTTTTTTAATTTAATTTGTTATTCTTTTTTTAATTTAATTTTCTTTAAATTATTAAATTTTATTGTTTTAAGAAGAAAAATATATTTTTAATCCAATTTAATTTTTGGGTACTATTTCCTTCTTTTGGATTCAATTTTTGTCTTCTTCTAATTAAATTTTCTTTTACTGTTAATTCTTTTTTTTGAAAAGAAAATAGATATGTTTTTTTTTTTTTAAATTCAACTTAAATTTTTAAAACCTCTTTCAATTAGTTTTTCGAAAGACAGTAAAGTGCTTTTAGGATAGTTTCCAGAATTTCCTTTAAATGGATATTTTTTTGGTTTTTTTTTTATTCAAATACGATTTCATTATGAAATTTACCGATACATTTTCATAGTTTCGTAATACAAAAAAAAAAAATGTATTAACATTCTAACATCTTGGGACCTTATGGAATCTATCCAATAATAGCGAGCACCTCTGCAAACTCAGCTACAGCCAAAGGTATGTAAACGCGTTTTCAAATGCTCAATTTTAATTACATTCATTCAATCAAATTTGATTTCAAATTCAATACATACAATTTAAAATCGCTACCATGTTACTTTTTGCTCGGTCGATTTAAGCTAGCATGCAAAAGAGACTTAACGTGCACTAGTCATGGTTCTAAATTTATTAGCACCGGAACAGTTCGGCACTCGTGCGTTTCCCTAAAGGGTGAATATGAGTGCACTTACATACAAACATACTTTATGTGCATGATTTTTCAATGACAAGATACGAGAAAATCATTTACAAGTAAAGAAAACCTCATCATAAAATGCTGTTGGAAACTGATGATTTACGCACAACTAACCACTCGAAAAAAGAGTAAGACATAAGTTTAATAGCAGAGCATTTGAATGTGTATGCTATTCATCTCCAAAATTGTTGAGCTTTACGCAAATCTGGAAGTACATATGCATATGTACATACGTACATGGATATGCATGCACGTTTTGGATTCCTTAGACTGGCGCACAGTTGTAATGAGTAGGAACAAAATAAACGCATGTTGGAATTGTATACATAAATAAACATACATACGTGGAATTCCTGAACATCCCAGTGGGAAAAGTAGTAATGCATTACATATGCGTGATAAATAATGTAATGTATTTCTTATAAGTTGTAGATTCTAGCAGATACTGTTGTATTCAAAACGTCGCAAAAATTTCCTATTAAATCACATTTATCCCAAGTAAAGTAGGGTATTCTATTTTGCATTACCAGTTTCCTACCGAGGCAAAAATAATGCATTTTCTAATGTGAAAACGGCTCTTTTACAGATTATTTTTTCGATTACAATACATTATATTTTCCCACTGAGATGAGGCAGAAATGGAGGCCAAAGTACCTCTTCAAATAATAAAAAAAAAAGTCTTCCTAAAGGTGAAAAGGTACCAAGTCCATATTTGAAATTATTCTGGAGAGACGAAAAATCTATCTAGTTTGGCATCTATCTATATATCTACTGGTAAAAAAAATTATGTAACAAACTACAGACCTATACCTAAACTTTCGACTTGCGCGAAACTCTCCGAGAAAGTGGTTCAAGAAAAGATAATTTTTTATTCAAAGGATCCATAAATCCGTGTCAGCATGGTTTTGTTTGTGGTCGCTCAACTGCCTCGAGTCTTGCCTGTGTTTATCAGTTTTGCATTTCATCATCAAGCACTGCATTTTATTGCCTGAGCTTGAATGTTTAGGTATACAATATACATTTCTTTGCTGGGTTAGATCATACCTATCCAATAAATTTTGTTTTGTTGAAATCGAGAGTACGAGATCACATGATTTCGGGACCATTTCTTGGGTACACCCGGGTAACATCCTAGGCCCAATTATATTTCATCCATTAACTAATGATATTGGAGCTTGGTCTAGGCGTTCTAAGTTTTTGCTGTACGCTGATAACTAAAATCTTCAGAAGTATTACTTTTATGTCAGATGTTTTGCTATTACAAGATGAGCTTAACAAAGTACCTAATTAGAGCGAAATAACTTACCGCTTAATTACCAAAAATTGTTTTCATATAACACTTTCAAAGTGCATAAGTTGACTTATTATCTGTTTGATAAAAGACTTTCTTCTCTTAAGGAATTTTCATACCTACTAATGTTTGATTCAGTATTTAACTTTATTAATTATATTAGCTATACCTTTACGAAATCCTAGTTTAACCTTGCTTTTTTGCCGCGCTATGGTAGAGATTTCAAAGATCACTACACCAGAAAAATCCTATATAACACTCTGGTTCGTTCAAAGCTGGAAAACGCCACTTTAATATAGAAACCAATTTACACAAGTCATGCCCCTAGACTTGACAAATTACAGTGAAATTTTATTCGCTAAGCTCTCAAACCACTCTGGCATCACTTGTGTCTGTCACTTGGCGATCTATTCCATC